CAACATCCCTCGAGGCCAGACCACGGGAGTTGGGGACCCGGAGCTTCTCCGAGACACCACCACTCCTGCTGGAAGGTGCCCTCGAGGACAGACCACGCGACTTGGGGACCCGCAGCTTGTCTGAGGTGTCCCCAATCCCTGTGGACCGTGGCCCTTGAGGCCAGACCACAGGACTTGGGGACCTGCAGCTTGTCTGAGGTGTCTCCAATCCCTGTGGAACGTGCCCTTGAGGCCATTCTGCAGAACTTGTGAGCAGAGGCCTTTCCGAGGTGTCTCTTTTGCAGGTGCCCTTGAGGACAGACTGTGGCATGGCAGGGAGACGCTCCGGCCTGTGCAGGCTTCTCAGAAGGAGGAACAAAGGCCCTGAGCCTGCCCCAGCACGGCAACCTGAGGACGTGCAAGACTTCCAGCCCCTGCAGCAGGGTCAGTGCTGGACCTGGGCTACAGGGCTGGTGGCTGCAGCCACCTTGGCCCCTTCCCGTCCCCTGTGAAACAAGCTCAGGCAAAGGGAGCCGGGAAGAGGGGCCAAGGCTGATCACCCATGCATCCCTGCTCCATCTACTGGGCATCCCGAGGCTGGCCCTGCCTGTGGAGTGAAGGACTGGGCTGTGTTCTCTGACATCTCCCGCAAGCCCTCAGCTCTGACTGCAATTGCTCTTTGGCAGATCCAGGCCAGCACCGGACAGAAGAGCACGTCCGTACCCATGGCCGCTTCCGCAGAGCAGTTCAGGTACCTGCAGCCATCTCCACCTGGGCTCTGCCTGCTGTCACCTCTCAGCCGAGCACTGCTGTTGGAGCACTCCATGGGAATTTCTTCTCTTCCCCATCCTTTGTTCTCCTGCAGAGGTTTCTCAAATTCGTGGGAATTCGGCGTAGAACACCCAAGACCACACCACCTGAGGCCGTGGCACAGCCTGACACCAGGCCAGCGGACCTCAAGGCACAGCCTGATGCCAGCTCTGCGCCGACTGATCCTACAGAAACCTCTGACACTGCTTTGACCCAGGACCTGACAAGCCCTCCCACCACACTGACTGATCTCCTGGCAACAGCTGACATGGCACCGATTCATTGCACAGCAAACCCTGACACCGCTTTGGCTGATGAGACAACCGCCTCTGATATTGCACCGACTGATCTCCTGGCAAAGGCTGACATCTCACCCATGCCAGCTGATGGCACAGCAAACCCTGACACCACTTTGACTGACGAGATAACCCCCTCTGACATTGCACCGACTGATCTCCTGGCAAAGGCTGAGATCGCACCCATGCCAGCTGATGGCACAGCAAACCCTGATATGGCATCGATGGAGGGCACAGCAATCTCTGGCACTGCGGTGACTGTCACCATAACAAATGCTGAAACCCCAGCGACTGATCTCATGGGAGAGTCCGACACCACAATGACTGAGGGCATCAGGAACGCGGACACCACAACAACACACGGTGTGACTGATGCTCTCAATTTGGACTTTTTCGAGGAGAAAGGCCTCTCCACTCAGAACCAAGTAAGCAGACTGTGGCCAGGGCTTGAGTCCCACAGTGGCCTTTTGACCCCTCAAGCTGGGTCTGATGGCTACCTGAGCCTCTGAGGCCAGCACAACGTGAGGGGAAGGGAAGCACTTCTTAGGGGAAGCTGGGCAACCTCCTCACGCTGGCAGATCTCAAACTCTCCCTCATTCCCTCTCCAGGTGCTGGACATTGTGATATACATCCACCTGTGTCTAGCGTTCCACGTGTCTCCAGAGGCCAGCCTCCAAAATAACATTCTCAGGCTGGTTGATGCACACCCTCGGGATGTGGTCTTTTCTCTCCTGCGCTGTGTCCCAGCATATGACAGGTACAGGGACCAGCTGCCCTGCTGGCTCAGGGCTCACAACCCTTTAGAACCCATCACCCCAGACAGCCTATCCCACCTGGTGTGAGAGACAGATGGAGAGTTCCAGGACCCTCTGGCCTTTCCATTTCCCAGCCCTGGCATGTCAGCCCCTCATCCTTCTGCCATGTGCCCTCCCTGCACCTCAAGGCAGCATGACTCTGTGGCCTGGGCCCCCACAGCTGCCCGATCCATGGCACTGTGGCAGAGACCCCCCTGACACAGGGCTCTGGCTCCACAGAGCTGCTGCAATGATCTGGAGGACCATCTCCGCCTCAGGAATGACAGCAGAGAAGGTGATCCCAGCACTGCTCCAAGTGATGGAGGACTGGCCTCTGCACTGCATGTCCTCCTCTGACGGTGGCGACAACAAAGACGTCTTTGCCCTGGCTGTGAGTTTCTGCAACTGGTCTTTGCTCCTCCCCAGGTCACCTCTCCAGTAGCTCCCCATCCTCCCCCACCACTGCATCTCCCTGCCTCAGGCGTGTGGATGCAAATCTGCCTGAGGGGCAGTTTCTGGGACACCAGGCCCGCTGCTCCCCCTGCGACACCCCTGCCCTCTCCCTCCCATGCTCAGGCCCGGCCACATGGATGTCTGGGCACTGAGCGCTGTGTCTGTGTGGTTTTATTGCAGGCAACCCTGGCACTGCGGCTGATCATCCAGGAGCCCGAGTGCCAAGATATACTGATGATATATGCCCCCCAGCTCCTCGTGGCTCTGCTTTTCCAAGTATTCATGAGCACAGAGCAGATGCCAGAGGAGGTCAAGACCTTCTGGAGCCAATGCCAGTGGCAACATGACCTTC